TGTGTGTGTCAGATCCACAGCTGAGACGGTTTCACGCTGCAGGAAACAAACTTTATTTCTTTGGTTCGTTCGCCATCGTCATGGTGACAGAAGCTGATGACGTGGAGTCTTTAATCTGATCTCAGTACAGAGAAAAACGTCAGAGCGCCAACAGGAAGAGGAACACAGGCACCTCCTGTCGGCGAATAATGCGAGCGCCATCATCCAACAGAAAGAGCTCCTCCCTCTGTCACTGCATGGCCAATCAGGGCTCTTGTTGGCAGAACTTCCTGGATCTGAAGCCTCATTCATTCTTCATTCAAACTACAGACAACCGCTCCACCCTAACCCCCATCTTTAACATATCCGTAACACTCAGGAGGCGGAGCCAACAGGTGAATGACTGCTCAGTCACTGGTTGGCTCCGCCTCCTCTTCATCAGGATGAATGAGGCTTCAGCGCAGAGGAATGCCTGATCAGAGTCGCACGATACAAGAAATTACAAAAATAAGATTCTCAATAATCTCTTTACACACAAGCTCCTCCAGTGGGCGGGGCCACAGATTGACCCCGCCCACACACAGTCCATCTCCACTCTTCACTACGATACAAAGGCCCCTCTGCCACTCTGCTCGCAGCTGCTTTCTCTCGAGTGTCCGTTGGAGACGCCAACCTCCCGCCGAGCCGCTCCGGAAGTCGCCGCCGAGCCGCAATCGGTCGAGCCTGCGCGGCGAGACTCGACATCGAAGCCCAAGGTGGTGGCGACGGGGCGAGGGAGGTCCTGAGGGGGAGAAGACAGATCAGGGCGAGGGGTCAGGTGGACGTACGCGACAGAAGACGCTCGCTGCACTCACCTTGCAGCTCCTGATCTGCAGGCAGATGCCCTCAGCTTTCTGCAGGATCTCCTCGACGTCCAGCTTCATGGAGAGCTCGTTGATGTGCTGCAACACACACAGGCTGGTCAACAACCTCAGGTGTGCACAGGCTGGTCAACAACCTCAGGTGTGCACAGGCTGGTCAACAACCTCAGGTGTGCACTGACCCCCCCCTCGCAGCTTCGGGGTGATGCTCACCTTCAGGATCTCGTTGAAGCCGTAGTTCTCCTCCATGATCTTCTGCTTCTCCGAGTCCAGGATGGCGCAGCACACCAGCAGGTGAAAGTTCTCGCAGGGCAGCCCGGTCCACATCACCTGAGGAGGAACCACAGGTGAGACCACAGGAAGAACGACACCGCCAGCACCTCCGACCCCGCCCACCAACCTCCCAGAGCCGCAGCACGTCCACGAAGCTCAGCTCCCTCTTGAACCTGATGAGCAGCCAGCGGAAGCAGAAGTACAGGTATCCTGAATCCTGAGACTCTGAGACACAGACAGAGGGGGCGGAGTCATTCAGAGCCGCTGTCACTCACAGCAAACACATTCACAGCTGCAGGCGGCGTACCGAGGTAGTTCCAGAAGGCGAGGTCGAGCAGCCGGAGCAGCGAGCTGAGCTGGATCAGCTGCGTCTTCATGCCCTGCATCTGCTCCTCAAAGTTCTCGTGCTGCAGGACAGACGGCGGCGAATCAGCGCACAGCTTAACGTGCGAGCGTTCAGAGCAAAGATCAGACTCACCATCTGGTCCATGAAGGCCACGAAGCACCAGAAAGCCTCGACCTCGTTCTCCATGACGTAGAGGATGGGCGACAGCAGGTCGCTCATGCCCTGAACGTAACCTGCAACACAGAGAGCTTCCCGTCACCACCAGGAAACGGGAAGTGGCGCCGTACCTGCGGAGGCGAAGCGTTCGCTCACCCAGGTCGAAGTCGTACATGCAGTAGGTCATGAGGATGTCGTGCAGCAGCACCAGGCCCGGGTTGTCGATGCCCTCGTAGAAGCGGTTCGTCCGGTCTGTTCGGTTCACGTCCTTCTCTGAGAGCAGACACA